CCAGAAACTCACGAACTACTGAAACCGACTCAATCAAAGGTACTTGGGTAGTGTCATCCTTGAGATGTGCCAAGAAAGCTAAACACCCTTTACTAATCATTTTCTTAGCACGAAGAAAGGAGACGATGCGGACCGGATTGGAAGTGTAGTCACCCTCCCACACTAACGGGTTTGTCCCAGGCTTGCCTAACGTCACCGTTTTAGCATTACAATCCAAGATTGCAAATTGCGGAGAAAGCCAAGTCATACCCAGAATCACATCAAAATCATCCATTTCTAAGATAACCAAATCTACATAGGTGTTGCTCCCCACAAAGTTCACCAAACAAGACCTATACACCTTTTCAACTACCACAGACTCACCCACCGGAGTAGAAACACGAATAGGCATATCAAGTAATTCACAATGTAAATTAAGACCATTAGCAAATGCGGAAGATACATAAGAAAATGTGGATCCGGGATCAAATAATACAGAATCCATGCAATCACAAACCAGAAGATTACCTGTGATGACAGCATCAGATGCCTCCGCTTCAGACCGCCCAGGGAAAGCGTAACACTGGGCCCTATCGTTCGTCTGTCCGTTGCCCCTACCATGTTGTGATGTAGTGGCCCCAGTTTGCCCATTACCTCTGCCGTTTTGGTGACCACCATTACCTCGACCACCACGTCCTCCAGAATAACTGCCTCTACCATACCACCTCTACCTGTAGCTATTGGGGGTCTATAACTTTGTCTGGGACAATTTTTCCTAATATATCCAATCTACCCACATCCATAACATTCTCTGGAGTCAATCATAGGCCCCTCGGAGAAGTGTTGACCGGTCTGAGGTGGTCCCCCAACTACAGTCTGTAGTGAAGACTGAATAGGTCGGACTGAGTAACTTCCCTAACCCTGTCCTCTAGTGTAAGAACCATTAAACTCACCTCCCTTTCGAAACCTTTTTGATGTCGATGTTGTGGTGAAGTCGTCTGGCTTCACTCCTTCCACTTCTATCACAAAGTCTACCACTTCTTGGAAGGATTTTGCCGTTGCCGCTATCTGTAAGGCCGAAATCCGCAATTCTGACCTCAACCCCTTCACAAACTGGCAAATCCGCTCTTGAGGACTGAAACAGAGTTGAGTGGCATATCTGGACAGTGCACGGAACTTAGCCTCATAAGCATTAACCGACATCCTACCTTGCTCTAGGCTCAGGAACTCATCCCTTTTCCTATCCCTCAAAGTCCGGGGGATATACTTCTCCATAAACAAGCTAGAGAATGAGGCCCAAGTCATAGGTGGTGCCTCTGTCGGTTGACACTCAACATGGGATCGCCACCACATTTTGGCGTTCCCTTGAAACTGATAAGTCACAAACTCCACACCAAACCATTCTACTATACCCATCTTGTGTAGTAGCTCGTGACAGTCAACTAGAAAATCATAAGCATCCTCTGATTCAGCACCCTTGAAGACTGGAGGTTTCAATTTCAAGAACTTACTGAAAAGTTCATGCTGATCACTTGTCATTATAGGCCCAGTAGTCAGACGTGGAAACGTGCCTATTTCCAATGGAACATCCATGCGGGGAGCCATAGTAGCCGCATGTTGTACCTCCGGAGCCTGAGGTGCTGGTGCAGAAAACACTGGGGGTGTCTGGCCCTGATCAGATAACCCGCTAAGATAAGCCAGGACCTGATTGATCATCTCTGGGGTAGGTTGGGGTGGCATTTCCTCATTTTGCACTTGTTCATTCACCCCATCCTCCCCCTCTCTTATCACTTCCTCAGTCGGTGGAGGAGTCACCGCCCTAGTACCAGATGGGCTCGGTGCTCGTCCTCTTCCTCTAGAGGACGTCCTCCCACGACCTTTACCACGGCCCCTTGCCGCTGTTCTTCCTCGAGCCACAGCCCCAGTGGCTGGCTCAGTTGTTTCTTGTCTGTCCGGTGTTGGTGTTGGCGTAGTCGTTGCTCTAGCTCTAACCATCTGCGAAAGAGAGTGAAGATGGTCAGATACCAATTCGTATCGCTTAGATACCAATTGGACTCAAGTAGTAGCACGAAAGAAAGAATGAAAGAGTGAAATTTTCCTAAAGTCTTATAGCCTCTCAAAGAAAAGTAAAGGCGTCCCCCTACCGTTCCTTAAGACTCTACTAGACCTGTTCTTGTGTGATGAGACCAACGAACCTAATGCTCTGATACCAAGTTTTGTCACGACCCAAATCGGGTTGCGACTGGCACCCACACTTACCCTCCTATGTGAGCGAACCAACCAATCTAAACCTTAACGTTTCAATATAATATAAACAGAAAGTAATGCGGAAGACTTAAACTCATTAATAAAATCAATAACTATTATTATTCAACATCTATTATTCCCAAAACCTGGAAGTCATCATCACAAGAACATCTACTTTAAACTACTAATTCTAAGAGTTTCTAAGAAGCTAAAAATACATAAGAAGCTAGTCCATGCCGGAAGTTCAAGGCATCAAGACATGAAGGAGAAGATCCAGTCCAAGCTAGAAGCGTTAGCTCACCCTGAAGATCCGGTATGACGAAGACTGGCTTGAGTTACTGTTGAGTCGAAGATGACGGCACGTTTGCTGCACTCCACAAATAACAAGAAGAAAAACATAAAAGTAGGGGTCAGTACAAAACACGGGTACTGAGTAGATATCATCGGCCAACTCAAAATAGGGAACAGTATATATCAAAAATTATCGTAAATCAACTATAAAACTCAACATGTAGCAACAACAAGTACTATAATCATCAATAAGTACCATCAAGTTCATCCATGAGGGCTCAAGCCTCAATGCCATACTCATTTGGGAATAATAGATGTTGAATAATAATAGTTATTGATTTTATTAATGAGTTTAAGTCTTCCGCATTACTTTCTGTTTATATTATATTGAAACGTTAAGGTTTAGATTGGTTGGTTCGCTCACATAGGAGGGTAAGTGTGGGTGCCAGTCGCAACCCGGTTTGGGTCATGACATACGCTTTTTGGCGTTTTTGTTATCTTCCTCAATCTTGAGCCGAATCACAAGATCTTCAAGCTTCATTTCTTCACGCTTGTGCTTTAGATAATTCTTGAAATCGTTTCACGAAGGAGGAAACTTCTCGATCATTGCAACCACTTGAAAAGCTTCATTTACTACCATATCTTCAGCAATCAGATCATGGAGAATAAGTTGAAGTTCCTGCACTTGTGATCCAATAATTTTACTATCTACCATTTTATAGTCTAACTTTGCGTCCACAAACTTTTTCAAGCATGCATCTTCTATCTTATATTTCTTCTCAAGTGCATCCCACAACTCTTTTGAATTTGTTATTGCACTATAGACATTATATAAGTCATCCTTTAAAGCACTCAAAATGTAGCCTTTACATAGGAAGTCCGACTGTTTCCATGCTTCAATAATCATGATTTTTTCCCTGTTTGGCATATCATCAACAGGAACAGGAGTATCTTCACTTGTAAATTTCTGCAGACCAAGAGTGGTAAGCCAGAAAAATAGTCGTTGCTGCCATCCTTTGAAAGTCACACCTGTGAATTTACCGAGTTTCTCTGCTTGTGGTACAAAAGATTGGGTTGGTGCAGCAACATGCACTGTAACACCAGTGTTTGCCATTTCTGATAAACAAAAATTTATACAATCTAAGTAAGCAATAAACTATAATTGCTGACTTAAAGGAGTATAAAATCACGAAGATTTTTGTCTCCACCAGAAACACAGATTTTTAAAAAACCAATTTCCTTAAGATTGTTATCCAATCTGTTTTAACAAAACCAGAAATTACTGATTGTAATAAATTGTTCAAAAACACAAAGTAACTGAAATTTATAGAACGAGTAAGCAAGATGAACAAAAATTTATTTCTCAAAAAATACTTAAATCTGTAAAAACTTACCAGAATCTGAAATAATCTTTTAGTTTGGAAGAAAATCAAGTCCAATGAATTTACAGTGTCCCCTTAAGAAAAATATTCTCCTCTAGTATCCGATGTTTGATATGGAATATAACCTCCTAGGATAAAATGATACTAATCAGTAGAGTGAAGATACCAAAAACTCTATTGTCAGCGAATCAATCCACAACAGGAAAGTACACGAAGAAATATGTGTTTAGAAGAAGAAGGAAGATCAGAAAATTCGTTGAAAAATGTTCTGAAGACTGAGTGGTATTTATAGGCAAGAAGAATATACTCTGAAAGGTTGCAACTGACACGACCATTCATGAAAGTTTGCAACCTTTCAAATGGTATTGACTGTTCCTGAAAGTTGCAATCTTTCAGAACAATCATGAGGGGAATTTTAAATAAAACGGGTCACGCGCGCGGATCTGAGTCGGGTCGGGTTAACTAAAAAGTTTAAAATATTTCGGTTAACTTCTGTTATCAACTAATTAATTGAAAATATTTTTTTGGCCATTTAATTAATTAAATAAATAAATAAAATAAATTTTGTCCAAAAAATAATCTCTCGATCATTTGCCAAAGCCGAAGTCGAAGCGAGCGACGACAGCGCAAGGGGGTCTCTCTTTCCAATCCTTTTAACAATTAATAGGAGTGTTTATGTATTTAAACTCTCCTATTTTCCTTTCCATTATCGATAAGGGACAATTGCTTTTTTCATTAAAACATATACAGGACTTTTCAAGTTCCCAACTCTTCAAGTTCTTAACTTTTCAAAAATCTTCACTTTCCTTCTATTTCCCATCAATTTTTGCTATATACCCAACAGAAATAAATACTTAAATTTATATAAAATTAAATAAGTAGATATGCATATTCTGATTTAATACCCGTACAATGTGCATAGGACACAAAATTGCTATATAGGACAATTGTGTCAATTTGCTCAATTTTATACAAAATTTAACGATTACTTAATAGACTCAAAGTTAAAAATAATTACTAAAATAAAATTAAAATTATATTTATATATTATACCAATCTTAAATTACTCTGTTTGAGCTAATGGTCTTTTCGAAACGGTCACCGTATTAAGAAATATTGTGGTAAGGTATACTAATCTCTACCTTTCGTATACGTATGTGTCAAAGAAGTTGAGAAAAATTGTAGATGAGGGATACCCATAAAAAATAAAGGTAGGGTTTCGGTTTCGATCTCCCACAAATTGGATTATAGCTAGAATCTCGCTATACGAATACTCAATCGATTTATGTTCATGTACTGCTATTTTGTTAATTGTCCGTTTCAATATACAATTGTGATCAACAGGTCTGTGTTGTAATCTATACTTTATATTTTCTTCAATCTGTTGAAATTTGGCTAAAAGAATGTGAAATTGTGCTTATTTTTAGCTAGAAAAAGATGTATGATTCTGTCCCATTACTAGATTAGTTTATTTGTATATCTATTCTACTCTGTTAATCATAGATATACCATTTTTACATGGGTTGTAGTACTCTCTTACGGTTTATGAAGCTCACATTCCAGTGTTGGTATGATTATCTGAGGAATCATTATAGTTGAACCTTTTTTATGCGGTCAAGTTTCATGCTTTATCCAAACTTTGAACTGGATAAACTCACATAGTACGAGTTGGGAGCACAAATCGTATCATCTTGAAAGGCTTACTACCCAATTCGTTCTTTAACTGTATGTATTGTTTTGGTTGTCTCTTTGCTTGTGTTTTTCAAACTTCTCTAATTTGATTTTGAAGAAGTAGATTGAAGTATTTCGCAAATGCACTTGAAGGAAAGAGGCAGTAGTATTGATAAAACATTTGGACTTTTAGGAGTTGGATCATTATGGTACAAACTTGGTTCTCTTTTTTCCTGGACTTGGAAGATTTAACAGCAAACAAGTTTAACTGACATGATTATTGTAATGCGTACCTTTCTAATTCCAAAGTACAAATCACAAACATGTTTAATAGACATGAATTAATCTAGTATATACTTATCTAACACTATGTAGTTTTGTCTGGACTTGTTTCTGGTTTCATTTTATGCATTTATGCAATGAATGGCATCCTCGTCAAGGTTAATGTTTATTAAGGTTAACTTAACTATATACGCATCTGCTTTTCTCCAAATGAAGCCGATTTACATGTTGATTATTCAAGCTAATTTGGATTCCGATATGCATGATAGCCATTAACTGTCTTATATATGGTGCAATTTATCTTCTTCAGATGGTCTGTTGATACATTCTTATGCGTCCTTTGAGTAGGTTGTTCTGAAGTTTCCTCCCTCAGTTTTTGATGGGTGCACCTAAGCAAAAGTGGACTTCAGAAGAAGAAGCTGCCCTTAAAGCTGGGATACTTAAGCATGGACCAGGTAAATGGCGAACGATTCTCAAGGATCCAGAATTTAGTGGAGTATTGTGTTTGCGTTCAAATGTAGATCTCAAGGTAGGGTTCCTTCTATCATTTTTTTCATTACATAATTATATTTAGTGCATAGGAAGTTTGGAAGTTATTTGAACCAGATATAGTTGTAAGGTCCAGTCTTGTTTTTAGTTTCTTATCTATGCATGTGGTGTTAATATGCTTTCCTATTCATACTTATTGATGCTGTTCAGGACAAGTGGAGGAACATGACTGTAATGGCAAATGGCTGGGGTTCTCGAGAGCAAGCAAGATTGGCTGTCAAAAAGATGAGACAGGCCCCTAAGCAGGATGGGAGTCCTTTGACTGATACTACTGCTGCTGATAGTGATGAGGAAGCAGCTGAAACAAGGACTGTCACAACTTCTAGTGGTTCTCCTCAGACACATGGTTCAAAACGATCTATGATAAGGTTTGGCATTGCTCATTGATTGTTGCAGCATAGCTCTTTGTGATAGTTGCTTAGTTTTATGGTGCTTATGATACAGTTTCTTGTTGTTTTTTGCTTGTCCTATTATTCTTAGGTGGCATTTGCATGTTTATTAGAAATATTTGTTGGAGAAGTTTTTTAGATATATGTTGGAAAACAATTTTTTTTCCTGAAGTCTTTTGAGAAATGCTCTAATTTGATTTCTGAAGTGCATATTTGTTTTCTTTGTCAAACATGTTTGTTTGGAAACCAGCAAGTGCTTGTTTAAACATAACATGCATATGATACTTTATATGTATTTTTTTTTGTTGAAACTGGTAAAAGGTTGTATTCTTCAGCATTAATTGTATGCTGGTTACCTACAAAGAAGTTCATTGAGCTTTCCTTTTCTTTACTTAGCATTAAGTGTATGCTGGTTACCTACAAAGAAGTTCATTGAGCTTTCCTTTTCTTTACTTAGTGTGAAATAATGTTACCTGTCTTGATGGGATCACAAATTATTCTTATTTTCATACTTCCGAATGAGGATTGTCTCTCATAGTTGCTGCATTGATAATATTACAGGTTGGATAATCTTATAATGGAGGCTATAAACACCTTGAAGGAGCCAGGTGGTTCCAACAAGATCACAATAGCTGAATACATAGAGGTAATTGTGTTCTTATTTTGTGCTTCCTTTTAGAGAAAGTAACTAGATATAATCTAGAGTACCAATAATTAATTATCATGCAGGGAAATCTTACAAAATTTTAAGAGGCCTCAAAAGGACTGAATTTTAGGTGTTGATTCTTGTTGTGCATATAGCAACATTATGAACGATGTTTGTTCTTCTTGTATTTTTTAACTATGAGGACTCGTAAGCCTCAGTATCATCAAAATTAGTGCTTTACCTCTTAAGTTCTTTGTTCACAGTTTGTGCATGAAGTTCTTTCTTCCTAGTATTATATTATTTTAAATTTAAGCTCTGACTGTTAGAAGTAACAGTTTAGGATGAATAAATTCAGTGCACTGGGGGTCCTAGTGTAGCATCTGGTCAGTATATGCAGAGTATTAGATTTGCACATAGGTCTGATAGGGCCACATTAACTTTTTTGCTTCTGAACAGATGATCTTGATTCCATAGAACAAGGTGTTAGGCTCTGCTAGTGAGGTCGTCACGGAACAATTATGTGCTCATGCACCCTGTCGGCAGCACCAAGTACTCTGGTCAATGCATGTATGTTCAGTAGGGTGTCTGCTTTAATGTATGCAGAACATGAGGTTGCATGAGTCTAATATAGATCTGATACTGCTAGGTTAATGATTTCTTCTCAATGTATGATTGTGATTTCCTATACGAAGGGGACGTTTGGTACGAGGGATAGGAATAAAAGTCCCGGGACAAAACAAAAAGGATTATTTTGTTTTGCGTTTGGTTAAAGTTATTAGTTAGTCCTAACATTATTTATCCTGTCATTTGTACTACAATGATGGGATAAGTTGTACCATATATATGGTGGGATAAGTAACCCCATGAGAGAGTCCACGGGATAACTTTGTCTATCTCATCCCCGATGTAGTGGCTTTATTGATCAGGTTCTTAATGATCTACAATTGGTTTATGCATTCTGCCTGACAATATTTTTGGTTAATACATTTATGTTCAATTGGGTGACATAAAAGTCATCTTACAGATCTTAGTTGATGTGTAAATGTCATGATTGCTGGATCTTAGTTCGTATCAAAACCAGAATTTATGGCTGCATCCGTCAGACTATTCTATTGAATGCTCCACTCTTTCTATTCTTTTAGGACCAGTACTGGGCACCTCCAAATTTTAAAAGGCTACTGTCCGGGAAACTGAAGTATTTAACTGCAACAGGGAAACTTATCAAGGTGATTTTTGTTCTGTACCTGACATCTCTGTTATTGGCTTATTGGTCCTCTCACCTAACCCTAGAGTGATTACAATTAGAATTGGAATTGGATGCCTAGTAATTTTTCTTCTTCTTGATTGATCATAATAGTATATTTTCTTTTAGATGAAGCGTAGGTATAGAATAGTACCTATGTCAACACCATCTGACAGTAGAAGAAACCTGTCCCTTCCACTTTTGGACAGCAGGCAGAGGATCTTCCCCAAGATTGATCGGGATGATATGACCATGCTTAGTACATCTCAGATAGATTTAGAGCTAGCTAGAATGAGGAACATGACACCTCAAGAGGCTGCAGCTGCTGCTGCACAAGCGGTTGCTGAAGCAGAAGAAGCCATAGCTGAAGCTGAGGAGGCTGGTAGGGAGGCTGAGGCTGCTGAAGCTGATGCTGAAGCTGCACAAGCCTTTTCAGTAGCTGCTAAGAAGACACTACATGGGAGAAGCACCCCAAGGATGGTAAGACATCCTTTTATGCCAATTATTTTGTCATTGTCTATCATTTTACTTGTCTCTCCTTCCTATCTTTCATTTTATTGTTCTTAGAATATGTTCTTCCTTATCTGTGGAACCATTATTGATTCAGTGTCTAGAAATCATTGTTTGAGAGCACTAATTAACAGGAATAGTGTAGATCCATAATCTTTACTTAACATTTCCCCTTCACTCTACTTGAAACAAGATTTTTCTAATCTACTGTAGTACAAGTTTTAAAGAGAGATATTCTAAACTAAATATAAATCTTGTTTCTTAAGACCTCATCTTAACAAGTCTTAAGTGACACCTAGAGGAATATATAGGAGTGGGTAGCTATATTTTTGCCTCAACTGGCATAATCTTTCTCTGGGCCTCATTATCTCTGTTTCAGCTCGTCTCTTGATCAATGTTAAATTTTGACTAATTTGTATAGAGAACTGCTTCACATAAGCTCTGGATATTACAATTGCATCTAGGATGGCAATGGGGTGGGACAGGTCTCAGTCTATGCGGGCAGGGCTGGGTGGAACAATTTTTTAGAGAAATTTAGCGGGACAGGTTGCGGTTTGAAACTTTTTTCCCTTCGCTCTCCTAGTCTAATCTCTTAACTAATTATTCTCCTCTCTCAAGGTTTTCAAACAAGTACTTTGTATGATTTCTTAAATCAATTATTTTTAGCCAGAAAAAAATTGGTTTTTAGTGAAATTTATTTGAAATCACTTCTAAGACAAATTGAATTTGATTTAGTTTGGATGTATTGTCGCCTAAAGGTTTAGTAACTGTAAAATTTGTGTGTTTTAGCGAAATAACAAACTGAATTTATAATTAAACTAGATCTTCATTCTTAAAAACATATGATTTAATGTTAAATTATGTGTTGTAGCGAAATAACGAAATTAAGAAAAGAAAAAAAAGTAGAGACAACCTTAAGTGGGATGGGGCAGGTTAAAATAGGAGAAAATGTTAAAGCGGGGCAGGGTGGTTTAAAATTCTGTGGGTTAAGCTTCAACCCACCCCGGTGCAATCCCTAATCACACTAAACTAACTTTTTTTTGAAATTCATACCTAAACTACCGGGAGTGTGAGTTTCATACTTAATCTATCACTTATTAGTTTTAGAAACACCTCTCTTTTATTATACTCTCTTCATGGTGTGTGTCCTACATTCTCTCTTTTATTTAAAAAAATTGGCACATCACACTCCACAAGCAACAAAACATTCCACCTTTTACAAAATTAAATAACTTATTAGTATTAGTTAAAGATAAAGTATTACTATCTCCCAAAAAATTATTAGTTTCATAAAAAAATTTATTTTTTCTTATCCCGCTTTACCACTTGCTCTCACCAACCCCACCCACCTAACCTCCGCTTCCAATTTTTTTTTCTCGTTTTGTGTTAGATATATACATATTTTTTTTAGGAAAGTTATTTTTACTTAGCGCAAGACTTTCCTAAAAATAAGATTGTTAATCTGGTACAAAAGACTCAAATATGCCATCGAACTTTCAGAAAAGGCTCATTTATGCCATCAGTTAAAAGTTTGGCTCATTTATGCCATTACCTTTAAAGAAAAGGTTCATTCATGCCATTATTTTTTAATAGTAGTTTTCAAAACCATTTTTGACACGTGACCAATTATAATTCGGCCACGTCATCAATTTTTTTAATTAAAAAAAATATAATTCTGAAAAAAAAAATTGAATTATTTATTTTGATTTTTTAATTAAATAAATTGATGACGTGACTGAATTGTAATTGGCCACGTCATCAATTTTTCAAATAAAAAAATCAAAATTCTGAATAAAAATTGATTTTTTTATTTTTTAATTAAAAATAATTTAATGGTGTGGCCAAATTATAATTGGTCACGTGTCAAAATGGTTTTGCAAAACCACCGTTAAAAAATAATGACATGAATGAACCTTTTCTTTAACGGTAATGGCATATATGAGCCTAATTTTAACTGATGAATAAATGAGCCTTTTCCCTAAGTAGAAATTTGTTTTTCACTAATATATGGTAACACAACGAGAAAAATGTAAAAAAGAGCAAATAAATTAGGAGCGGAGGATTTAGATGGGGTGGGGTAAATTTTATTTTTTAAGAAATAATAAATAATATCAAATTTTACTGGCAAGGAGTGAGTGGTTTGGGGGGCAGGGGCGGTGGCCGGGGTAGGGCGAAGTATGAATTTTTAATTTTATATTTTTTGGGGGATAGTACTCCCTCTATCCCATATTAGTTGATCATTATCATGAAAATAGTTGTCCCATATTAATTGATTACCTTATTAAATCAAGAAAACACTCATGAAATTTTTTCTATATTAACCTTGCAATTAATTTTTTTTAAAAAGTATTCACATTTGTTTGTAAAATTCCAAGAAGATTTTTAAGGGTGTTTAGTAAAATTATCTTCTTATTTATGATTGCTTAAACAACGTGCAAAATGGTAAGTGATCAACTAATATGAGACGGAGGGAGCAATACTTTAATCTTTAACTTTTAACTAATATTAATAGTTTATTTTAGTTTTTATCAAGATAAAATATTTTATCCATGTGGAATGTCATGTGACAATGTTTTTTCAAATAAAAGATAGTGGATTGCACACACCACTGAGGTGTGTTTCTCAAACTAGTACGTGATAATTTAGGTATGAAACTCGCACCTCCGATAGGATAGTTTAGGCATGAAACTAAGAAACCAGATATTTCAGGTGTACTTTTAACATTTATGTTTGTAATTTTGCATTGAGAGATAATCTAAGCTCTGAATGTGTTTCTTTTTCTATGAGATTTTTCATTTTTACTTTGTTGGGGAGGGAAAGGGTTGTTTTCTTTTAGTAGCTGATTCATTTGGGATTCTTCTTTTTCTTGGGGTGAGAGTGGGGTAAGGATGGGAGGTGGTTGTGTGGAACGGACTGAAGCCAAATCCTCTGGTACCTCTGTTGATCTTGTTGATTCCAGCAGGTTGTTGGATGACAAATTAACTTGACATCAATGCTTCGATGAGAGCGAAAGAAAAAAACAGAGACAAGTATTGATATGTTTCTATTTATGTGCTTTCATAGCTAGGTAACTACTACCTATCTACATTAGGTGCTTTACAGAGTTGATGGAATTTCACCTAAGATGTTTAAACTGGCTCGATACAAATTGATTATCCTCACTGATGTACTATGTCCAATGCCTGCTATGCTATTATTTCTTGGTTCTTTTTCTGATTGTCTCTCTAACATCTAGATGATACATGCTTGATCGTTCCTTTGGAGGTGACGTGGATGTGCGAGTTAGAGAATTGCTAGATACCATTCCAGTTTGATGTTGTATCTTCAGCTTGTACATATGGCTACAAGTTTCATGCTAAGTGTAATCTACTGGGTTGTTAGTAGTAAAAGTGTTTCTGATTGTGTCAGTGTGTTTCCTGTTCACACCAAATCAGATGTCTCCTTTTTAACCGTAACTGTTTCTTCTAGCTGAGGAACAGGACTTAACCAAATCAGATGCTCTACTGTTAGTGTACACGACGATTTATTATTTATTTGATCTGGATTTGGAAGCAGAATAGATTAGTCTACAGTAGTTTCTGGCCAATGTCTATTAAGTGGGAATGAAGAAAATTATTTTTCTTCAAGAAATTAGTTCAGGAGACAAGCTTGGGCATATCTCACATAATATATTTTTATGTGGTGGATTCTTTTCAATCTATTTTTATTTCAAATCCATTTTGACAGAAATCAATACTTCAAAAATAGCCCATGTACTACAGGAATCCTTTATGTTTTTTACCTATTTGAATGGATTATCTAAGCAGACATGTATAATTAGCTCTGAAAAGTATTCAAAGTTATATTCCTTATACCAAAATCAGTGTTGCTTTTTCCGTCTACTTTTGCTTGTTTATTATATTAAAAAGACAAAATATTTAAATGGATCCTTGTACTTATATAAGTTTGTATTATGAATTTTCATACCCATCATTAGAACCTAATATGTAAAACCCAGCTGGCCGTGATTGCACTCGCTTTTAATTGCATAAATAAAATATATTTTTTGTTAAAAAAAACATGATTTTTTTTTTGAAAAACTTATTTCTTCTTTAATCATCACCCTCCCCCCTCCCTGCAAAACCACCACCTCACCCCCAACTTTTCTTCTTCAGCAAATTAACCTAGCACATTTTTTTCCTTTTTATTCGAAATCACTTGCTACACTCTTTTTCTTCAATCCACTCTCATTGTTTGCAACAAATCAAACTCTACCTCTATTCTCTTCTTTCTGCCCCTTTTTAATATATTTTTTAGTGTTTTAAATTTTAAATTGAGACCATTGTTTGTGTGTGTTGGATTCAGAGAGAAGGTACGAGTATAGATTAATGTAAATGATGATGGTGAATATTGAAAGTTTAAGAACTCTATTGATAAGTTTGAAGAATAATAAATGTGTCTTATGAATTTGTGAAATTAATTAAAATATGTGATTTGGGGCTCGTTGGATTTGATTGGTGAACTTGTATTTGGAATTTCAAGTTAAACAAAGAAGAATTTCATCTATTTGACATGAATTTGGTAAGATCTTGCAAAAGTGATTTGATTTTTTTTAATGCTTAATTCTTGCACGTCATTGAAAAATGACGTGAAACTACATGTGTAATCGGTTGGATTACACATTCACTGATCAAATGAGAAAATTATTTTATAACTGTGTGCCAGATTGCACGATTGAAGAACACCCAACATAAAAATACACACTCCTCCATGTGAAATATTTTAATGGGTTTAAGAATTCATTTAGCAATGTGTTAACTAGGAGGGTTCAAAATACAAACTTATAAAACAATAAGGTTCCATCAGACCATTTCACCTATTAAAAATAATTTATTGCATTTACTTGTTCGATTAGAAAAATCATGAAATAATTCATCACATTGAACCTATTTGGTCCTTATGACATATTTTTCTTTTTAGTTGGTTTCAAGAAATATGACACATTTTTTATGTGTTAAATATCTATTAACACTATCAACGTTTATTCATATTTAGTACCACTTATTTGGCGAACATTCACAAAGGTGATCCTTATAAGGGCCGTTTTAGAACATTGTTAAGTCTACCTATATTTCTTATATTTTATGTCCAGTCACATTACATCACACAAATTAAAACGTAAGGAGTAACACATTTCAATTAATTCCTCAAACATTAGATGATATAGAATAATTAGAAGTGATATAATCAAACCAATGGTCTATTTATTACTTCTTACGGATTCTGTCAAATTAAATATAGACAAGTAAAAAGTGAGCAAAACAGAGAGTACTTGACATAAGTTTGTATGAGACATTTGTTAACTCTTCCCGACTCATCTCTTCTATTTTGTTTATTTTTAAGACTAGATATAGGGCCCTATGCGTAGCATGAATTCAATATACGTTATTTTTGTGTGTTAATATCTGCAACATAGATGGAATAATCAATCAATGTTTTGTATGATTTTAGAATTAATAAATATTGTGATTTCTAACATTTTAAAGAAAATTTCAAATAGTATACGTTACTCCTATTCACTAATTTTGAGAATCAATAAAAATTTACAATTTTTTTTGAATATTTTAAATTTATAGTACTTGTAACATAATTTAATACAGATGACATAAATCTTTAACCATTAAGCTGTTGGGTTATTCCACATCGGAAGTGGAAGGGGCTGGTGGTCAATTTATAAGTGTGAGGGAAAGCCTCAACCTTTGAGCTAGCTTTTGAGTTGAGAAGGCCCAAGACCACCCAACATAAGCCACCAAGTAGTTGTATAAATAAGGTGACAAAATTGACCATGACCTAGGTAATTGAAGCTACTTTCTTTTTTCTTTCTCTTTTCGGAAAAGGGCCTAAAATACCCTTGAAGTATTGAAAATGGTACATAATTACCCTCCATCCACCTATTGGCCCCCAAATACCCTTCACATCCACCTTTGGGTCCAAATTTACCTCTTCATTAACAGACCAAAATTAAAAATAATTAAATAATAATTTTTAATGACGTGGCACTCAACCATTGGTTGTAATTTAATTATTTAAAATAATTTTAAACCCACCCATTTTAACTAAACCCACCCATTTTAACTAAACCCACCCATTACTTTCCCATTCATTTTTCCC